GTAAAGAGAAATACTAAAAATTAACAAATAACTTATAAATATGATTAATTTTTTTTTCTTTTTATCCTATAAATTGGATCAAAGGAGTATGTAAATATATGACACTCTACATTCCCCAAATTATCATGTACTTTTAAGAAAATTCATCATTTGAAAATATAAAAATATTTAATAAAAATATAATTTTTATCAATAATACTTTTTTAATATTATCCCAATTCTTTATATTTTTTTCTCTTTAATGTTTTTAATAAATGAAAGGTATTTTTAAAATTTTATATTTTTATTTTAAAAAAATTGTAAAATATATTTAATAAATTTTATTGTTACATGTAATATTGTCTAAAAATATCTTATAAACTGGGACAAAGATAGTACCTTATCAAATTTGCATCTCATTTAATACCTCTAAAAACATTACAATACAATAAATAGCAACTTATTCCATGAAAAATGGAAAAATGTTATTGAGTACTCACTCCATTTAAAAATGTAATATATTTTTTAAAAAGTTAAATATTAAAAAATATAAGGTATTTTTAGTCTTTCAAGATGTAATCATTATCTTTTTTTCAAAAGTGTCCCTATTAATAATAATTTTATATTTATTATAGAATATTTAATAGAAATAAATATAGAAAGATAGAGTTAGTTAAAAAATAATTAACTATTTTATTAGGGGATGAGATTTAGTTAAAAATATTTTATATTTTTTAATGGAAGTAGTATTAATTTGAAATTTTGAAAAAACTTGTACCCCTAAGAAATAAAAGGCATTTTTTCAAAATAATTAATTAGGGGTACAAGTTTTTTCAAAAAATATAAAATATTTTAAATTTTTTAATGTGTGATTGATGAATTTTTTTTAAATACTCTCAATTAGGAGTGTGATTAATTAAATTTTTTTAAATTGAAATATTCTATTAAATAAAAATAAATATAAAAAGAGTGTATAATTTTAAAAATAATTAATTAAATCATTTGAAGTACAATTCAGTTAAAAGTATTTATAATATTAAATGGAGAGAGTAATATAAAAAAAAAATACCATTGAAAAAGGACAAATACAATGAAATGGGAAGAATAATAGTATTTCATCTTGAGTCAAAGTTAAGCTCCAAGTAATATACTCTCTTGATCTTATTTGTAAGGCAGAAAAAGAAAATTTGTTTTGGTACTATTTATAGGGTATCTCAATAATTATTATGTTTATCTTTACTCTTTTACCTCTATTCAATATTAGAAAGATCATTAAATATTATAATATTTTATTTTTAGAATAGATATTTAATAGGGATAAAGTTAAAAACTTGTTAAATTAAAAAAAATATAAGGTTTAAGGTTTTTCTTAATTCCAATCAAAATGTTAGAAGTGACCTGTAAATATTATTAGAAAGAGTACTCTTCAATTATTGATCATGTCGTTAATGAAGCACTAGTTGTAAACTTACAATATTCATTTGATATGAAAATATAGAAGTCATAACACGTACTTGTATGAAAATTTGAGATGATACTCCTTTTTTTAAAAAATATAATACATTTTCAATCGAATCTCACCCCTAATAAAGTAGTTAACTACTTTCCGACTAACTCTATTTTTTTATATTACCCTTATTAAATACCCTATAATAAATATAAAGTCATTATCAATGGGAATACTTTTAAAAAAAATAATGATTATATTTTAAAAGATTAAAAATGCCTTATATTTTTTAATATCTAACTTTTAAAAAATATCTTATATTTCTGAATGAAAGAGAGTATATGTTTTCTATGGAACTAGAGTATACTCCACTGATAATAGAAACTAATGCCTCTCAAATTACGGAGAACAAAATATCATTTGATTTCTTACTAAATTTGATTTGTTTCATTTGCAATCAACGGCGGTGTCAGAACCTTAGACTACGGAGTGCAACATTTTTGAAATCAATAATTTTAAAAAATTAAACTTTTGAACTCAAAATCCTTAAAATTGAATTTAAGAGGTTCAGAAGAATAAAAAATTAAAATATATGAACCTTTATTATAATTTTCTCCAAACTCAAGGTGCATGCCCCTTGCCTGTAATGTAGTGCTGCCCATGTTTGCAATAGTTGGAAATTGAACATGGAATCACTTATCTAAATGCCTAGAATTCTTATCAATCACCTATACTAAAATGGTAAATAAGTATAGGAGCATGCAATTTATAATTTCCAAGGAATCACTTATATAAATGCCTAGAATTCTTATCAATCACCTATACTAAAATGGTAAATAAGGTATAGGAGCATGCAATTTAAATCAAAATTTGTGAGAGATGAATGTAGGTAGCTGCTAATTCATTAATATTCTGAATCTGTTGCTTTCTCAGTTAATGCTTGAAATCTGCACAGCTATCATGCACGTCACGTTCCCCCAACGAATAACCACCGTGTCATAAATGCAGCCCAGCCAGAATTTTTGGTTCCGCCCTTCCTTCCTCCGTCTTAAGCACGCTCCGTCACGCTCGAAGCATCCTTTTAACCAGCTCAAAATAAATTAGTAACTAAGAAACTGTCATTACATCATACTTCCTCCAAACCACAATATAATATATCTTTTAAAAATTTAATTAGATATAAAATATGGAGTACTGAATAATTTTTATATTTATTTTTTTATTTTATTTATTACTCTTTTTTAAAAAATCATACATTTGAATTTTAATTATTCTTATTATTAAGACTCTTATATAAAATATTTAATAAGGATATAAATAAAAAAATGCGAACATTTTTAAGAGCTTAAGATTTCAGTTAATATTACTTATAAATTGTGAATTAATTAACTATTTTATAATTTATATTTATATTGTGAGAAGTAATCATTATACCAATTCATGGTTACAAATCCGTCCCCCAGCTCAGCGGCACCATTATCCCACCCTATGGCAGAATAGTTATTAATTGGTGGCAGGGAGCATACAAACAATCCCGCCAGACAAAAGTGGCTTTTCATCACTATACGAACAAATACCGTTGCCTTCACCCACAACCAATCAGACCCCAAAGTATAAATTGCATTTATTGTTGCATATGGTACCTGTTTCTTTGAAATTATGGGAGCTCACAAGATGAGATAGGACTAAACACTCCCATCTCGTGTTTCATTTAAAAAAATAATTGGAACTTAAATTTTGTATTGTGTCCTGTCCTATTAGAAAAGTCATTTTGTTTTGATAGAAATTGGGACGTGATTGAGATATTCTGATACTTGCTTTAATCACCTTTATTTGTATATTCAAGTGATCAAGCTACAGTTTTATTTTCAAGATCTCCTATTGCTCCTACATTTTCCTAAGATTGTGTGTATGGTGGCTATTTTTCTTCATAATGTGAATTAAGTTTTATCGAAACAGGCAGCAACAAACATATGTGAATGAAACAACAAATGTGCATAAAACTATAATTTAGCCATCAACTTAGGTTATAAATTCATAATACAATCTTAAATTAAGTCATAAACTCAGAATAGTCATAAACCTATATTTAAAGTTTGGACTATAAACTCAGATTATAATAGACAATAAAAAGTAAACTCATTAGATTATTTGAATGGCAATAATATGAGTTTGCATTTTTAATTTCTCAAAGTAATATCAATAATTATGAGACAAGACAGGGGTGTTCATTGTTCAGGTATTAAAAAAAGAAAATAAAAGTATTAAACAAAAAATATAAACAAATAAACAATAAAAATAACATAATAATTAATATATAATAAAAGAATATGCATACATGCGCATGCGCACATGTAATATTGAGACGGGACATTTTGAAGGCAATCCTAAGTCTTATCATGTTCTATCCTACAAATGTCTTGTCTCAATTTTTTTTAGGCCGGGATAGACTTGTGCTGACATGATAAGGACAAGTATAGGCTAACTAAAATAAGAACAACCCTAAATACCCTTATTTTAAATACTCTCTTTTGTCCCGTGTAGGATAGGGAGAGAATATTTTTATCTTATTTATAAGTTATTTTATTAAATTTTTATCATAAATTTTTTTCATTTATCCTCCATTGAATATTGGAGAAAGAAAATATATTATTAAAATATATTTATTTAATAAAAATAAAGTTGATAAATTATTAAATTTTTAAACAAAATTAATGAGTTTTAAAATTTTTCTTAATTTTAATAGAATATGTTTAAAGTGACTTATAAATATAACTAATATAAAAAGTATTAATACAATTACACTCATGAACTAGTATATATGAAGTAAATAAAAAGAGACAGTTCAATGGAAGGCGAATGCACTTGTACGGCCAAGACATTTGGGCCTGCCTTCTCGTGACTTGTCCATTGCATCATCACGCAAAAACAAGTTCGCATAACAATGGCTGGCTATGAAATGCAGGCAAACGGCTCCATAAATTCTAGAATCAGAATCGTTCTTTAGGCATGGATACGGGTGCCAGTTGCAATTCCTCCGTTTTATTGGACAAACAAACGAAATGATGCATAATGTTCATAATTAAAATACAGGTTTCATAAGAATAGGAATGACTCTGCATTTCTTCAATGTCAAATTCTGACTTTATTTCTTCGAAGCATCCATGGAGTAGCACTTGTTATAGTATCAGTTATTACTCACAGTTGTTATTCATTCACAGTCGTGCGAATATTGCAATGTTCATCCAGACATAATGGCCCCTAACAAAATTCAGCAATGGAAGCGGGAAGAATTCATTGGGCCCAATTGAACTCCAATCGCTTGGGCGATTCGACTAATAAATGATTTCAGATCTCACTTTCCAGATACTACTATGATTTCAAAATTAGATAATTCCCCCTAACTTCGGGATATCCATAGTCCGAGCCTAAAAGCCACGTTGTTTATAGCCCTGTGAATCATAGCCTATGTATACAACATAGGTAGGTTGGTATCTACTGTATGCATACAGTAGTACGGTGCTCAACTATTCACAATTTCACGCAGATTACGCTCAATAGGGAGAGGGGAAAGTGTTCAGCATTGTAAAACTAACTTCACCCATAGCCACACACCATATGGTCAATTGGAGCTAGAAGTGGCTCTTTCCGCCGTCACCAAGCAGTACATCACGAGAAACGCCGCAACACGGTACAAGCAAACGATCAAGAGTTAAGCTTTTTCCTCCTGATCCCAAAGCAATAGATCTACTATTACTTGGATCACAACCATCAAAGTGTAAAAGAAGTTATCATTTACAATGCAGGAAACATCACAGCATGTCCAAAAAGCCTGATACTAGTTCTACTGGGTTTTCATTCAAGGATTATCATGCTGACTCTTTTTTCTTTGTGCTTGATGGTCACAATTGAATAGATCCTGGCTATTATTAGATACAATCAAAATTGGAACAACAGTCATTTGACGAAATGAATATGCGCTTCCTTTCGTCCAATTTTGTGAATTTCCGATGCTATTCAGATAAACCCATCTTTTCCGCGCTCCAGTTCTATATCAGGTTATTTTTCATGAGATGTTACCCAAGGCTGCAATCAACCGTCAAATTCTGTCGCCTGCCGAAAAAAGAAAGTAGATTAATTCAATTATTTATGCACCAACCGAAGCATGAAGAACTGATATAAAAGTATCCAGGTATGAGAAAAATTCCCAGCACAGGAGTCAGTAACAGATATGGGTGGGGTGAGATTCGCATAGATCGGAGGAAGGGGGAACCTGGAGCGGAGAAAAACCAGAGGATGAGAGCGCAGAGAAGAAGGAGAAGGGGGATGGCGTGGATTGCGTTGTGGGCAGATCTGAGACGAGAGAGCTCCTTCTGAGCAACATGGGAGCGGGGATCGTATGTGGGGAGGTCCTGGTCAGCGTCAACGGAGGGACTGAAATTCGAATACACCGATGAGGATGATGAGAGTGAGACTCCGCCGGCACGCCCCAATCTCTTCATCTCTTTCAGCGACGGCAATCCCTGCTATCCCACAATTCTCTAGTTAGTCCAACTAAGTTGGCAGCTCTGCTTTCAATGAATTTCAAACTTCAATTTTTTTTAAATAAAAAAATAAAACTGCATATCAATAGTTAACAACAAAACAAAGTACATAACAAAATACAAAAAACAAATAAAAACTAGACTCTTTCATTATCCTTCATCCTTGAGATTAAAACATGAATGATGATCAAAGAGACAAAATTCATTATCCAAAGTGTGTGATAATCTAGTGAGAAAATCTGCATCCCTGCTTTTGCCCTTGTCAATGTGATTAAAAATAATTTTGCCCTTCTTACAGAGAAAAGCTCTAGCTTTTTCAACCAAATCCCGAAAAGGATAGTCACAATCACATCCATTCAAAATTAAATTTATGGCCTCAATGCAATTAGAGAAGACTTCAATATGATAGATTTCCCTTACCCAACACTAGTGTGTAAACCTTTTATGATACCAATAAACTTTATTTTAGTTGAAGGAACTGAAGCAAGTCGGCTGCTAAATCTTGCAAGATCCCACCATATTCACTGCTCCCAATCTCTCTAATAGAGCCATCAATCTAAATTCCCAAATAGGAGTAAAACTAATAAGTGAATTATAAATTTTTTTTTAAAAAAATAGGACGAAATTATAAAATTGATAATTGCGTGCAGACCCAAAATGCTGTATTTGGAGTCTAAATTATAAGTTGTCCTAATGAAAGGAACCCGATTTGGATAGTGTTCATCACTATGATGAAATCTAAACCATACAGATTTTGATCTGGATGGTCCAAATTTAAACTATTATTATATATTATAATAATTATTTTTATGTATTATGTACAATCTAAATTTAATACTCTCTATTTAGAGGTACTCTATCTAGTCCAGATTTTAATATATATCAATCATAAAAATTTTAACATTAAATTAGACCCTACAAATTAAATATGAACCATATTAAAAATAACAAATTTATTAAAATTATTCTATAATTTTTTATTTAAATAATATAATATATAGTAATAGTTTAAATTAAGATCATTCAGATTAAAATCTGAATAATTTAGATGTTATTATTTTGATTAGCACTCAAACCAAACTCCAACGAAAGCCACCTTTTCTGATTCTATGATTCTTGACCTTCATGTCATGGGTTGAGAGTCTGGCGCAGCATACGGCGCCCGTGCGGCGTCCTGGAGGACCCCATAATTCTCAGGACAAGCCTTACCACATACGGATCACGCTGGTTTCGCCCTGCCATGAGCTCATCAGGGAGGCAGCACTAGCCCCCGACCAGTTGTGCACTCAGTCCGAAGACTGAGGCAGAACACCCCCAATGCCAATGTCGCCCCCTTTACCCATATCGTGCGAGGCTAACCAGCGGATCGTTCATTATCTTGATCTTTACACGATCACGGAGATATCATCCGTGACATTCTCCCACACCCAATCTAGCACGCCCTCGTGCTAGGGGAGAAAGACTCCGCCCAAGGATCGTACGTACAGTACTGCCACAAACACATCAGCTTACTGCTGAATGGCCACCCGAGTCCTGCACTCTTCGAACCCACTCGCACCCGCGAGCCAACAGGAGTGGAGTCAACAACGGCCAACCTTCCCGCCCGAGTCCCTATTTTTGGACCCACCTACTCGGAGGCCTTTCTGGAGCGGTGCCGAGATCGACCAGTCCCAACGTGGGACCCTACAGGCACACGGCAGTAAAGTATGTCCTGCTTTGATACCACTCTATCACGGGCTGAGAGTCTGGCGCAGCACACGGCGCCCGTGCGGCGTCCTGGAGGACCCTATAATCCCCAGGACAAGCCTTACCACATATGGATCGCACTGGTTTCGCCCTGCCATAGGCTTATCAGGGAGGCGGCACTAGCCCCTAACCAGTTGTGCACTCAGTCTGAAGACTGAGGCAGAACGCACCCAATGCCAATGTCGCCCCCTTTACCCATATTATGCGAGGCTAACCAGCGGATCGTTCATTATATCGGTCTTTACACGGTTACGGAGATATCATCCGTGACATTTAGCTTCAAAGAAGGCCTGCTCCCACGTGTTCCACGCGCCTATGACTGTGGTTAGCCGCTTTTGTCTTCCTCCCTTGTTTGTATCTCTCTTCCCATATATATATATATATATATATATTATTTCTTTTTTAAAAATAAAAAAACATACAAGAGACAAGCTATGGCATTAACAAAATTCAACTGGTGAACAATGCTAGATTTATCAGCCCGGTAAAAGGCAGAGCAGCCAACGGTAAGCTCCATCAAAATATAGAAATCTTTCTGTGTGTTGAGCATCCTTGGTCAAGAAATCAATTGCTTTTAAATTCTCTCAATTCGAAGAAAAAACCTCCAACTCTTAATTAAAGTACAGCAAGTTTTATACATCAATGATGTTTGATCATAAAGGATGTGCCAATCCTCCCCAATCCCAAGCAGGTGAAGTGCTTCCAAAGAATCCATATGACACTAAATTTTATTTAAGTGGAATTGTTTGCATAAATTTAGACTTAAAATAAGTGCAAAACATTCAACTGTAAAGAGGGGGGAAAACCGTTTTTATTTGGAAATCTTGGAATCCAATTGCCCAATGAATCTCTAACAAACCCTCCACATGTGGCATAGCCTTATCGATTAATTGATCCATCTACATCTAATCTCATATAACCTAGCATTAGCAGTCTCCATTTATCTTCCATTTCTTCCATGTCGTGAAACATCTTATTCTTGAGTTGTCTATTCTCAACTATTTCATTAATATGATACATCACACTGTGATATAAGTCGAGAGCTTCAAGCCTCATCCTCTCCACTACTCCCTTGCACTATTTGTCCGTGGTAGCCAACAGACAAGACAAAAAGTCTTCACCCATATTTTGTTGTTATTATATCTCACACCAAGATTAGTTTGCACATTCGCTTTAATCCACATTTACAAGTAAACAGAGAAGAAAAATTGGATATGTAAAGGGTTAGAAACACAAGCCCACACATTTTTATTTTTTTTTGCAATCTCTCAAAATTTGTATAATAGACTCCTCACTAAGACATCTAAATAGGCATGTTTCATAATCTTTCAATCCATGAGTTTTTTTAAAAGTTACTTCTCAGTTTTAACATGTTTTTATCTAAATAAAAAATTTAAAATTTATTGAATTTCTAGACAAATTAATACATTATCAAATTTGTTTATATTAAATAAATAAATAAATATATATATATATATATTAATAACATATTTTTTCTCACAATTATTTAATGTAAAATTTGGAGAGATTTGTAATAAAAAATTAATTATGTGACTTATAGATAGAATTAAAAATATTATTTTCCTGTTTTATAAATAGGGCTAAGGAGTGTACTTGTCATTAATAGCGAGCATCCTTATTTACAAGGAATTTGATGATAAGTACATGAATTTTGTAAATAAATATATGCTCGTCTCCCTAAATTAGACGATTTTTATCGTTATAAAAATAATATAATTTATTATTCTATTTGAATAAAAATATAAATTTAGCAGTGGTGCTAATCTGCTCGTTATGAAGTTCTTCATGGTGCGTCTGTTCTGTACGCTAGTGGAAGCAGCCTGGAAAATCAGATGGCAATGAGGCTTAACGCCCGAGTAATTTTTTCCTTATTGACCACCCGGCCTGAATTTTCTAAAGCCACCTTTATTCCTCCGCCACCTCATTCTCCGACATTCAAGCCAATCATGATTCATATAGTTAGGTTTTGTTGATCAATGTTAACAATTCTCAATGTCAGGATATTTATCAACATTAGGATATATTATGGCAAGTGCTATTAACGTTATAAAATATATTACTTCCATTTCACATTATAAGGCATTTAAAAAAAATTAATATTTTAAAATATAAAATACTTTTAATAAAAATAAGGTTATATTTTTCTTTTTCAATATTTTTTATTAATTAAGTATTAAATGAATATTATTTTTAATAATTTTTATTTTTTTTAAAATAATAAGTTTGTAAAATATATTTAATGAATTTTATTGATATATAATTTTTTTAAAAATATTTTATAATTTAAAATGTAGAGAATACAATCATATTTTGCCTTTATCAATGTTCTCAACCACTCTAATGCGCTGCATAACAATGAGTGTATTCCGCAAACATGACTGATTAGCATACGACACTGTATAATTTTGGTCGGTCTTGAATCTTAATCCATCGTTGTCTCTTTCCTCCAAAACTTACCCCACCTTGTTTATATTAGAGTCATAATATTATCAATTCAATTAATCTTGTTTTTTTCTACTTTTCTTCTTTTGCTTTCAATAACAGATGAGTTTTCATTGGTAAGATAAAAATATCAAGTTAAAAATATCAGGTGACTGTTTTTCAGGAGTGTTGATTATAAACTTAGAGATCTAATTCATTAACATGCCGCGAATACTAGAATAAGTTTTATATGTAGAATTAGGAATTAAACAATAGTGATGATTATATGTGTTAAGATTAATACTGTTGTTGTTGTAGTGCAAAATGGACCAGGGTGCAAATCGAACGACCAAAATTAAATAACGAACTATTCGTAGATGGAAGCATGGCGCAGGACACGTGGCAAGCAATAGGTCCTGTTGACACGTCATCCCACTCGTCCCGTTGATTCGTTGTGCCCCGACATCTAAGGCTCATTTTAAATTGCAGCTCTCTCACACGTTTCCTCGATTTCTCCTTCCATCGTTGGTTAATATTGTTTCTTCATCTCCGGCGACGATCTCAGATTCCGCTCGTATTTCCCGCCAGCTGACACTTCTCCCTCACTATTTCTTCCGTGTTATCGTCTTTCATTTCCTTTTCAGCACCACACCACCATGAATCCTGAGTAGTATGTTCAAATTCCTCCCCTCTTCCCGTTTCTGTTTAATTTTTTACCCCGCGATTATCTGAATTACATCTAGTCTTTGTTATTTTTTCAAACTTTTTTTTTCCCTTTTGTTCAGCTCTTACAGATCTATAGTTATCTGTTCGTAAGGGAATTGGAAATTTTA